TCATAAACTGACTTGTTGCTGCTGTTGTCTTGTTTCTGATTCTTTAGTTCGAGTACAAACAGGAGAAATCACTCAGTGTCTTTCCAGTGTGTGTTTATTAAATTACAAAGGTTATTATTTATGTTATTAGCATCGTTACTGAATCATCATGTACACTTTTATTCGTTCCCAGAAGCCACTGGGACATGGAGACACCACAACTGTCTGGACTCTAGTCACTTTACAACATACAGAATGACAGCGATGAGGAGGAGGACGATGAAGACCAACCCTTCGTTCTGGTTCCATATACATCGGCGCCGACGACACACCAGGTGAACACATGAAGTGTTGAGCAGCTTTGGCCTCATTCACACGTTTCCTGTCAGGCAGACGGGACAGATTGCAGATGCGATTTTCACTGAGCCACATGCAGACACACACCGGATCGCTGAGCGTCCGTCTGCTGCAGCAACCTGCCGTCAAAGCAGAGAAACCTGAACTCACAGGTTCCACCTCGTTTTCAGGACGTTAACTTAAACTCTGGGTCTTCGTGACACTGAAGTCTGAGGAACTAAGATAAAGGTTTTTGGTGTTTTTTGACATTTAACTCAGGACAGTTTCTGCAGGTGATGAAGATGTGATGAGGAACAGGTCTCATCCAGAGCTGCGGATTCTGAATCTTCTTTTTTTTTTACAGCCATAAAAACAAACAGAAAGTTTGCTTGTCTTGATTTAGGACTTCCTCAACCTCAAGGAACAGTGTCGTAGTTGGTTCTCTCCGTCTTTCTGGTTCCACTGAAGATCCAACAGCTTCAGCATCAACTCAGAGAGCAGAACATACGGTTACTGGACGAAGCTCAGTTCTAGGTGAGGAACAGAACAGTGGAGGTTTGTTCTGTTAGAATAAATGAAGAACGTTGATGCTGATGTCGAAGAGATTGACTAGATTTTTTTTTTCTGAAGACGTTCTAAGAAGGTTCTGCTATGTTCTAGGAATGTTTAAAGTTTCCCTAGGTTCCCAGAAGTTCTCCAAGGACATTTAAAAATGTCCTTAAAACATCTGCTGAATGTTGCATTGAACATTTCATGGAAGAACGTTCTATTTGTATCGGAACCGCATCCCCACAACACCAGCTGATCATTCTACCTTCGTATATATGTCACATTAGGACCGCTTTATAAAAAACATTGTGGTTTGAGAACGTTCTTCAGGTGTTATCACACAATCTGACAACTTCCAGTTACAGTGTTCAGCCTCAGAGGAGAATGATCTGAACGGACAAATACCCTGAAAACATTCTTTGAAAATTAAATGTTCTCCGAGACGCTTTGAAAAAAAAAAAAAAAAACCTGTGAAAAACCTGAAACTCTCCTCAGAACCTAGTTCATGAAGCACGTTTATGAAGAACCGTGGATCGTATCAACCATCTGAAGGCTGTGAAAAGACAAAACGTGTCTTCAAATGTCAGAAAACCTCCAAACACTCTGATTACAGTCACAAATAAAAACAGCAAGTCTTGACAGAACTTGGATTTTTTTCCCAAATTTTTTGCTTGAAAAATGACACAAAGATTTGCTGACTGACGAACTGAGACCCGGAGGAGGAGGAAGCACAGATCTTGTTTGGGTCATTTTTCACAGTGAGTTTGATCCATGTTAACGGCTGTCACTGTGGTTTGATGATTATTGGACCGCACACCAATCCACCAATACCAGAGAAGAAAATAAACCGACTCTTCTGATTCCTCATCAGCTTCAGTCTCACACTGTGGCTCAGTGAACATCCTGTTTCTGCGTTCTGTCACTTTCTGATCTTCTCTGGACTCTCAAAGCCTCTTTGTTCACACTGTCAGTGTCTCCACAACAGAAGCTCCTTTAAAGCTCATCTCCACCTGTTTGAACCGCCGCGTTTACATCTGGACCAGAAACGTTCTGTCTTTAAAGAACCACATCACGGCTTCACCTGCTTTCACTACACGCCTCATTCATCAGTGTCCAAGAAAACCCAGATGAGAAACGGTGAATGTGGTTTGTGGTTAAACAGCCGGGCTGCGTCGTCCCTTTAACAGTTCGGCCGAGCAGCGACGCTGTCGGCGCCGACGGAATGAAGGATGAAGCATCGAAATACAGTTCAGAGAATAAAAAAACAATAAAGTTACCATCGAGTTCATCATAGTCAACACATCAAAGAGTTCTCATGTTTAAAAGTCGCTTTTTTGTTTCGCTCCATCCTGTGCAGACGGCGGCCATGTTGGACCGGCGGCCATGTTGTTGGCGGGCGATGAGAGAACATATGTTACAGCGAAGTCTCTGCTTTGACTCCTCAGCGGCGAGTTCAGGTTCAGTTGTTCTCGAAGAGCGACAGCAGGTCGTCGTTGTTGTTGTTGGGGAGGTCTGGAGGTCCGAGGTAGGACAGCAACTCGTCCGGGTTGGTCAACTCAGGAAGCAACTGCAGCAACAAACATGTCAACAAATAAGCTACACTCAACATGGTGTTCCTCAGGGTTCTATACCGGGGCCCACCACAGTTTTTTCCATTGTGCACATTTCCAGTCGTAAAAAGTAACTAAGTACATTTACTTTATTGAGTACAAGCTGAGCTCACAGTTCTAGTTTTGGAATCAAGGTTAATTAAATAAACAATTTTCACAGAAATCTGGGAAACTCGTGATTTAGTTTTACCTTTTGATTGTCCATCTGCTTTTATTGTTTATCATTAATGAGGGCAGATTCACCTTTAATGTGCAAAAAGCAACGGCTTTGTTGCAGACATCTACAACATAAAAGCACCTGACTGTAAAAACCTCTTTGTTCTGTGAAAACAGCTGCCAGAAACTAAACTGTGTCAGAGAAGCAGACGGACGAAGTCAATGAAGAGACGCCTGACAACAAAACTCTGCTTTACTTTATGCTTTCATGCATGAGAACAACATCCACTGTAGAGGGTTCATAGATGTTAGAGGAGATCTGGTGGTTTTCATGAATAATGGAGACCAAAAAGAAAACACAAGTTTTACTTCCCGCAGTATTATTTTCACTACTGTTATTATTCATATTGTTATGAGCACATACAGTAAAACCTGCTGGTTTCTACTCGTTGTTATTATTATTATTATTATTATTGTCAACAACAACAACACTAATAATGACATGAATAACAGTGAATGTAGTTCAGCTTCTGGCTTCTTCTCACATCCAGAGCTGCTGTTGTTGTTGTTGTTGTTGTTGTTGTTGTTAATGACAATAACAATAAAAATAACAATAACTTATTTTATTCTTAGAAATGACTGAATAAATAAATGAATAAATAGTTTCTCCTCACGTCCAGAGAAGGTTCTGGAACCTCAGCAGACCCGCCCAGACCGAATGAGCCGTCGCCTTGGAGACGGGGATTCTGGTTGCTACGCTGCATCATCTGGTTTCCGCCCCCGAGCTGGGGGTTGCCATGGAGACCCTGCGACTGCTGCTGGGAGAGAGGAGCACCATGGGAAGTGGAGTCCAGACGGCCAGAGACGGACATCTGAGGGGAGAGGAGACGGTCAGCATCCCGTCATGGACTGATCAGAGCCGATCGGTTGATCAGGGCTGCTTACCTGAGCAGCCAGCGGGTGGGGGGGGGGCTTGTCAGGGGTGAGGAGGGCGCTGGACAGCTCCGACTGGTAGGACAGGGGGGGAGGGCCGGGGGAGGAGAAGTCCCCACCAACGCCGGGAGTCCCGGGACCACCGAAGTCTGAGAAACCGGCAGACTGACCGGGATAGGACGGAGCTGGAGGACGAGGAAGATCAATACATGTGATCAGGTGAAGACAGCTGATCAGATCAATACATGTGATCAGGTGAAGACAGCTGATCAGATCAATACATGTGATCAGGTGAAGACAGCTGATCAGATCAATACATGTGATCAGGTCATCCTTGCAAACAGTAACCTTCAGGGAACTTTCCTGAAAGCTTCCTTGATGTTCCCTGGAGGTTCTCTGAGAGTTCAGCAAACAATAACCTTCAGGGAATGCTTGAGGAACTTTCCATGAACCTTTCAGGGATCCTGGATGTTCCCTCAAAGTTCAGACAATGTCCTGGAAATGTTCCCTGAAGGTTCAGCAGACAGCAACCTCTAGGAAATGTTCAGGGAATGTCTTGGGAACGTTCTCTGGACATTCTCTGAAGGCTCGGGAAAAAGTAAGCCTCAGGGAACCTTTGGGGAACGCTTGATAGTGTTTCCTGGACGCTCCTTAAAGGTTCCCTGATGTTCAGAGAGCGCCATCTGCAGAGAACCTTCGGGGAACCTTTGGGGAACGTTACCTGAAAACTAGTTACTTTTAAGGAACATTTAAGAAATGCTTCCTGAAGGTTCCCCGAAGGTTCAGCAGACAGAACCTTCGGTACAGCAGCTGCTGAACTCAGACATCCAACGTGTACCTGAGCAGGTAGAACCGGTACCTGGGCCCGAGTAGTCCGGGGTGCTGCTGCTGGTCCCGCCCCCTGCAGGGAGGGGGGGGTAGGGCATCGGGGAGGAGGAGGAGGGGGCGGGGCCGAGCGATGCGATCATCTCCATGACGCTGGGCAGAACCATGTGACTCGGGCTGAGGGTCCGGCAACGCTTCAGAACCGGACCGTCCGACTCCTCCTTCACATGGAGGTCCGGCTTCACGGGAACCGGCTTCCAGCTGCAGACCGGATCGATGGTGATCTCCTCGTACTCAGAGCTAAGGACAAAGAGTCAGAACCAGTCAGAACCAGACAGGACCAGTCCAACCCAACCTTTACTCAGCTGGTTCTGAGTCCCGGTTCGGGTCTGGAACAATGTAAGTTGAGGTCACATCAGAGCTCAGAATAATCTGATCTGCTGCTTCTCATCTGAGCTGAGGGTCCAACGAGCGGTTCTTACTTCTGGACGTAGATGAGGATCCCCAGCATGTACTGATCCACCTCCAGACCCTCCAGCAGGGCCGTCTTACTGCACACACACACAAACACACAACGTTGTGGTTCTGAACTTCATCAATAGAGCACTTTGAGAAAAGCTTCAGGTGGTGGAACTCACTGCAATGAGTTCAACAATAAACTAAACAAAGAGCAGAAAAGATCCAACAGCTGAAGAACAGGAAGTCCGATGTGTGTTCTGACAGCTGACGGGTCCAGACTGAACCAGAGACTCTCTATTTTGATTTGAACTTTATTAAAACATCTAACTGAGATGAAGACTTTGTTTACACCCAAATGTGTGTTTTGGACGTTTTCTTTCAGTTACGGGTCCGTCAGTTCTGAAACAAGACTTCCTAAAGTCTTCTACGTGTCTGGTTTACTGAGACCTGCAGCTACATGCGGTTCAGAGAACATCACAAGGTCACTTCTGCTTCTTCACGTTTTCATTACTGTGCTCAGAGATGGAACTTTTCATGACGGCTTCTCCCCATCATCAGATCACTGGTCCAGTATTACAGGTTCTGAATCAACAACACGATGAGAAATGACGGAGAACATTTCTGTTTTTATCTGGACTAGTTCCTCAGATGTTCTTTGGATAAACGGTGAAGCTAAACTTTGACAGACACCGTTTGAAGTGTGCAGCTTCTGAAGGTTTGCAGCAGATGGGAGCTGGTGGGGAGAAGAAGGCTGGTGAGTGGAGGTGAACACAGCTCTGGGTCTTACTTGCACACCGGACACCTCCAGGTTCCCCTCTCACAGTTGAGCTGCAGGTACGACTCCAGGTCGAAGCACTGGACACAGACACACTCAGTTAGCTCACTCAGCAGACACACGGCCACCTAAACCTGGACCGGCTGATGCTGCTGATCAGCGATCAATCCGACCCGTCAGGCTGTGATCGGCTCCCACCTGGACGTGTCGGCAGTCGTGGCCTCTGGCGGGCAGCTGGATGCGGCGGAAGGTGATGGGACACTTTAAGGAGACCCTGATGGCCGTCTGCTCCACGCCGTCCTCTCCGTTTAGCCCGGGGGTCCCGGGGATCGACCCGCTGCTGAAGTTCCTCTTTACTGAGACACGGACGCAGAAAGTCATTTAAGAAGGCAGAAAACTGAACCAGCAAATACTGAGCTGCTGCTGCTGACGGGACCAACACCACCTAGACTACTAGCACTGAGCTAAAGGATGCTACTAACCAGCTAACCAGCTAACCAACCAGGTGTTCTGTTCACTGCCATTCTTCTACAACCATCAACATCAGCGACCACCAGACAGTCGTGAGCGCTAAAAGATGAGTTTGTTAGAAGTTGATTCATCCAGAGTGGATCCTGTCTACAGATGGTTCTGGTAGGTTCTGGAGGTAAACGGTCCCTCCATCGTCTAGAACTGGTTCTGACCAACCACCATCACACATGCTGACATGAGCCTGGAAAGTTTACCCAGAATGCACTTTGTGAAGTTTCCTCTGGTGACTGATCAGAACCAGAACCACATCCAAAGAGACAGAAAATGTTCAGAATCTCAAAACTGTTCATTATTTTACCAAACGGATCAACTCCAGTCCACATGATTCAAAGCAATGACCACCACATGGAGCAGAACGACTTCAGGATCCGTCCCAGAGTACTGACAAATGGTCCAAAAGGATTTTAGGTCCAGAACGATTCAGGATTCATCCAAAATGACATTAAATGAGTTAAAATAACAGAAATCACTCATCAGATGTTCAGAATGACTCAGAACCGTCCACAGTGGCTCAAAACATGACAAAATAAAATAACAGAACCAGGTCCAGTGTTCAGACTGAGACACCTGGATGGATGTAGAACTGATCTGGTGTCAGGTTCTACCAGAACCCAGATGTGTTCTTCCTCCTAAATGTCATGTGTCTATCTGCTGTACTGATGAAGTTCTGAGGCTCAGAAATGATGGAAAAAGTCCATTAAAGTGATCAATCTGGACCCTCCTCTGTGGACTTGAAGGACCTGGACCTCTGGAACATTCACAGTCTGAAGGTAGAACTCTGGTCAGTAGATAAAGGTTCTGCAGATACAGAACCAGGTGTTCTGAGGAGGTTCTGGGGGACGACTGACTGACTGGACCTCTACGTATTTATTGCAGATCGATAGATGGGTCAGACAGACTCACTCTTGGTGACGCAGTGCTCAGCGGGCAGCAGCCTCTTCTTCATCAGACCCTGCAGCACCGACCGGACCGACGGACGATGAACCAGCTGGAGGACGAACAGGTGAGACTGAAGACACAGAGACAGCAGGTCAGACGTGTTCAGAGAGCTGCTCACCGATCACGGGTCAAACCGTGTGATCGTCAGCTGATCACCGTGAATGTTTTCTGGTTTCTGGGACACTAAACTGAAGATCTTTGGACAAAACGAGACACTGGAGGAAACTCTGATCCACATCTCCACCATCACCTGGTCAGTGTCTGTGTGTAGATGCACATCTGTGTGTGTGTGTGTATCATATGAGTGTGTGTGTGTGTTCTTACGCAGCAGCAGGCGGTGACGGTGATCTGGATGGTGTTTCTTCCCGGCTGACACACCTGCTTCAGGTACAAGGGCTTATGGGAGGTTTTGTTGTCGCCTCTCTCGATGGTGAGAGGAGTCGCGTTGACGCTCACCTGAGGACAGACAGGAAGTAAACAAAGCTGAGCTCACACAGCAGCACTGTCTGGAATCTGAAACGGTTTTCTGCCCCTGATGAGTCGGTGATGAGGGTCTGACCTGGACGGAGGCGGGCCAGTTGGTGTTCATCTGCCGATCCTCGTGGTGGTAGCACTTGAACTGCAGCTCCAGGTCGGGTCTGAGGGGAAACACGAGCCTTTTACTGCTAATCACACTTATCGTTATCGTTGTCATGGCTTTGCTGTGTTGGTTATACGTATCAGTGAAGCTGGAACTGGTTCAGACTCCTCAACAAGAAGAAAACTGATGATGATACTGAACCTCTTGACGGTAGGAAAGAGCTTTATTACATTTACAGAAAAATCTGAACCCAACACCAGAGTCATGTTCTGTGCACCCTGGCAGGATTCAGTTATTTAATAAAAGCATCTTTCAAACACCGCTCTGGTTTCATTACAGCTGGAGGAAAGCTCCAACCAGAAAACTGGAAGAAAAACTGACCAAGTGTTTTCCTGCACAACAAGTCACACAAAGAAACGGATCATCGACACTCCAGATAATCTGTATGAATGTAAACATCAGTGTGTCTGCACCCTCGGTGTTCTTCTAAATAACTAGTTTTATGGTTCTTGTTTAAACTTAACTTTAATTCTTCGCTCCACAATATTTTTTGCTTCTGCTTTGCACCATTACAGTTATCTTTATTTTTAGTTACTTTTAGTTTTTTAAAATATTTTTTATCTTGTACCTCACTCTGAATTCTCTACAAACTCCTCGTATTGTGTGAACTGTACCTGGTAATAAATCTGTTCCTGATTCTGATACGCTGGTGTGACGCTGGGGAGCCGCTGAGTGGACAATTTAATGTGGAGCATCAGGCAATAACCGTCAAAATAAAAGCACGAAAGCAGCTGATGTCTGAGGCTGAGCGCTGCGTGTTGTTTGTGGCGTGCTCGTGTTTGTCGCTACCTCATGATGAGCGTCTTGTAGACGGAGTCTCGCAGCTGGAAGACGTGGTTACTGACGGCCAGGTTGTGCTCTAATCTGAAGGGCTCTAGGACCACGCCGTCCCTCACCGGGAAGGTCAGCCGCAGGTCGTCGCTGGGGTTACCTGTGGACAGGAAGCCAACGCCGTCAGACGCCCGGTCGCTTCCTGTGACATCACTGCCAACATGTTCAAACGATGCAGAACATCTCATCGATAACAACCTGATCATTGATCCTGCTTTTAGTGGTGATAACGTGATTGTACGAATATCGATGAGACTATTTCATGAACATTAATATTATTGGCTCAGTTAACCAATAATAATCACATTAATAAACTTAGATTATTCTGATTGTTGATCTAAATGTAATGTGGTTATTTCAGTTATTCATCATTCAAACAAACAAACAAACAAAAACCATTATTTCATTACTTCACCAAAGATAATTCTTTATTCAGTGGCAATAATCGGATCGTTCTATAAACAATCATCAGGCTATTGAGGATAAATCAGATTTTTAGTGGAAATATTGTGATTATTTTACTAAAAACAAAACATTTACTCTGATATTGTCATATTTAGTTTAGTTTTGTCGGCTGCTCCACAAATAATAATCTTTCATTTAACCAACTGTTTATCAAACTGACTTAAAGGAAGACGCCATACTGGTGATAATCTGGTCTGTCCATTTCTTTGGTCAATAACCAGACGACTGTGATGCTACGATGTGATTACTTCATTGATCTCCTTCTGACTCAGACTGATGTGACTTCCTGACTTCACACTGAGACTGAAGCTGATCGATCGACCACCTGCTGGGTATTGATCACCTGTGGGCGGGGGCGGGACCAGGCTGGCCATGTTGGGTTTGATGTCGGCCAGGAAAGACGAGGGCGGCGGCTTGACGTCACTGTTGCCTGGCGACATGTAGGGCGGCGCCATGGAGCTGCCGGGGGTGATGGGAGGCGTCGGGTTTCCGGGAACCGGAGACGAGGGGTAACCTGGCAACCCTCGGCCAGGCTGGCAGGGAGAGACGGAGGCGTTAGATTCACACCAGGATGAGCTCAGAAAAGTCCTCAGAAAACCAAAAAAGTCACCGCAATGCAGAAAAGTCCTGATATTACAGAAAGGTCCTCCTAATACATGAACGTCCCCATAACACAGAAACGTCCTCATAATACAGAGAAGTCCTGACATTACTAAACTATATCAAAGTGATGACCTCACCCCGGACGACTGGTTGAAGGAGTTGTAGACACCGCCGGCGCCCCCTGTGGTCAAAGCGTTCAAGCCTGCACCCTGACCATTAAACTGGTCCTGCTGCACAAACAAAACATCACGTCACCACCGTTTACTGATCATTTATTAGTGGAGTCTCCTGCATCGCTCAGGGCTGCAACAGAGGAATTTTACGATCAAGAAATCTGCTTCATCAGGTCGTCGATTATTTCACAGAGTGTCAGAATAAACAGCGCTGAACCAGCCGAACATGTTAGCCTTGTTCACCTTGTAGTACTGGGAGTTGGGGGGTCCAGAGGGGGGGTACTGTGGGAGGGGCATCTTGTGGCTCTGATAGGAGGGGGAGGAGCCAGAGCGCTGGGGGGCGGGGCCTGGACCACCTGGACCTGCAGGTAAACAGGCAGAAATGACTCGATAACACAAACTCTTAGAGGTTAGCAGTTTCCCTCCGCTTACAGTGTTTGTGCTAAGCTACGCTAATCACTCCTCAGAGAACACAGAACAAGAGAGTTCACTGTTTTTATTTACAGAGTTTAGCTCTGATTAGTTCTTACTGTCCTGCTAACTGAGGGCACCTTTTCTAACTAATCTTTGTCTTTCTCAACAACGGAGGGAATGATTTCACATGTAGACAACTTTCAATAAAGGTTTAGGAAATTATTATGACTATTATTGTGTTTTATCTGGTTGTGTTACACGTCTAGGATCTTATTTATTAATTTGTAATAGTTTTTGTTATTTGTCTAATTCGACATTAGACAGGAAAACTTAACTTGTGGTAAACAACTTAAATTACTGTTGTTTTACTCGTACTTATTGCAGGGTTCCTACACAGTGAACATATCGGTATATACCTGCGGTTATTGTGCAGAAGGAGTGCTGTAGGAGACTACAGCGCCCAGTGCTGAAGGCAACACAAACCAACCAACACCAAACGGACACACACATCCACACACAACCTGTAGAGCAGAGTCTGTTCCTGTCAGTTCACTGTGACGTGAACGGTTTAAAGTCAGATTCACTGAGTTTCAGCTTCAGCTCAGTGTTTATATCCAGTATTTGTTTGGTTTCATGAAAACTTCTGCTGTGTTTAAACCACCTGCAGTTTCTTTCATTGATGTGAAATGTTTGTTCATGTTTCTCCATCTGCACCCAGACCTCTGGAATAAAACCTGTGGCCTCAGGGTACGAACCAGGCTGTGGGCTCATTCTACCGTCCAGGGTTCTGGTCCAACTGAGGACTTTAGCATCAGGCTTCTGTCAGATTAAAGATACAACAACAATAATAAAATCCCTCCCGCCACCAGCAGACGTCCTACCTGGGTGGTACTGCATGTTGGGCCCAGAGTACGGTCCGGGCCCAGCGTGGCCGCCTCCACCTGAAACCGGCATGGATCCACCGGCACCACCAGGACCAGACATGACGTTCACGCTGGAGCCGACAGGAACCCCGTACTGCTGAGACATTCCTGGGAAGGACTGAGGACGGTGAAAGTGCAGCTTCGTTATTCTGCACAAGCTGCAGTTCAGTAAACACGCTAAAAAAAGGCCCAACGACAAACTGAGACCGTCACAAACTAGACGGACTCTGACCACAAGTGTCCTGTAGAGTCTAAATGTGTCCAGGTTTATCCTCACCTCAGAGCTGTAGGGCCGTTTGAGGCCCTGTGGGGGCCTCAGGTGTCCCTGCTGAGGTCCGGGGCCGTAGTTTGGAGGCTGAGGGACCCTCTGTGGACCCCCTGCAGGGCCGTACATGGGGCCCATGGAGGGCGGCCCCCTGGTGGGCCCTGGACTGGGGCCCATGCCTCCAGGAGCCATACCTGGGGGACCGCGGGGGCCACTGTGGGCCATGAACTGGTTGCTGTAGGCTGGACCCCCCATCTGCAGCACAGAATGAACATGACTGACATTAAACGCACCGCCGA